CGCATGTGCGTGCATAGAGAAATATTGGGGGGAGAAATGTGCATATGTATACAAATAAAACACTGTAATTAGTGGGCTGTTTAAAAATTCTGCATGTTCGGATTGTTAAATTTGAGCAGATAGCAGGAGTCCAAAGAGCGGACTGGGGATTTAGAAGCGATTGTAGCACATACAACTTCTGTAAATAACACTTGAATATAGAATATGTAGTCATCTGAGTTTAAGTTTCTGTGGTATTCCTGTTTTTTCAGCTTGATCCTCTTCCAGAAAGGGTTTTCCAGCAGCGAGCAAATGCCAATGCCGTGCAGTCCATGGAAAAAGTTATTGAGATACACAGTGAGTATATATCAGCTTAGCTCATCTGTGCACAGGCTGTCTTTTTGAGTCTTGTATCATCTTCGTAACTGTAGTAAATAAATCATACTAAGTTCTAGTATATTTACTTAGGCTGGTGGTCACTGTGCAGTGAACTGTATACAGCCACAACTTGATTATAGAATATGAACCATACACAGTACTGTGATTCAAATAGGAATGAATTCAAGGAAATCCTAGCTGTGTCCTATACAAGAGGTCCCTCCTGGTCTTCTGATCTCTGAATGATGCACTTCTGCCTGTCTCATAGCAAGATGCAGCTGTTAGTGCTTGAGCTTATGGCTGGATACTAGAAAACGGTTTGTTTATGTTTCTACTTCCTTTCTCTCACCCTAGCCCAAATTAAATGTAAATCCAAATGATGTAATTCCAGTTGTAGACATTTTCATGGAGCAGATTGGCCTTACTCTTGGTGGAGGAACTAATGCTGAGGTTAGTCATTATAGGAAATACAGGCAGGTGATTGCCATCCTTGTGAAGACAAGTTTTTCTTGTGGTGTGTGAGGTGGGCTGTTTCAGCAGTGCTTACACACAGCCTTCAATGGCTATTAAATACATCCTTTCAGCATATGGTTATTTGGAAATTGTTACAGCTACTAATTAAGAATGAATGTTAATAAAAGAAGCACAGCATTGGGTACAATGGCCAAAACTGTAGATTTGCTTAATACTTTGGGAAAAAAATTAAAATGCTGCTGTCTCTGCATGCAGCGCTTTGAAAATACTCTGGATAGAGACTTTGCTTCTATTCTTTATTTGTAATACAGTAGCAGCAAGAGATTCCCCCCTGGTATTAGCACCCCACTGTGCTAGGCATTGTGTGCGCGTGCGTGCGTGCGTGCGTGTGTGTGTGTGTGTGTGTGTGTGTGTATAAAAAGTTGAAATTGCCTGTGCCAAAGACTTTGCAGTCTGCATACAGAAGACACAGTGGAGAGGGAGATGACTGTCCCCATTTTACAGACGGCAAAGCAAGGACTAGACAGATTAATGGCTATATTTAAAAACAAAAAAAACCCCAACTGACTTTCAAAAGTTACCTAAGATTTAATTAAGATTTAACTGAAAGTTAATGAGACACAGATGTGTTGATCTTACTAATTTTCAGTGAAACCTAGGCTCCATGATCACTTAAAAACAAGATTTCAGTTCCTAAACCACTTGAGTATGTTTTGGATTTGGGATCTGAAGGTTTTTATATGGGGAAAGCCTTACCAGAGATGTTGATGACATGATAGGTCTTTGTGCAGGCAAGGTTTATAAAGCCATGCATAGTCATGGGTTCTGAGGTGGTCAGCAAGCAGCAAAAGCAGCTGAATTCCTTTTTAGTATCTACCTCCTATCTTTACCCTTTGGGACAGGGGAATAGATTTGTTTTTTGAAAAAGCAGTGATTCAGCTCTGATTTTGCATCCAAGGTCTACCTAGAATGACAAAGGAGCATGTTCAGCAAAATATTCAATGCAGGGTTTGTTTTTTTCCTGCCTGAACTCCTCCTACACAAGGTGTTTGGGCACTGAAACCCTGTTAAATCCCAAAAGGTCAGGGTTACACAAGTTTTGACTGCAACTTTTGTTATTTCAGCCTCCCTGCTATTATTTTTATTTTGAAATAGATTTTATTTTGTTAGATGCATGCTTCAACTTGAGACCCCCTGCTAATGTCATTGGGACAAAGATTTTGCCAATGTTTCACTGGAAACAGCCTTGTTATAAGGGTGTTGCATTGTGCCATTTTTTGATGTAAAAGTCATACATACTAGCAAGTGTTGCCTGCAATATTTAGCACACAGAATACACTGCTAATGATATGCCTGTTTACACAGCTAAACAAGATAAACACTTATGTAAAATCCAGATCTTTAATATGACAGCACCACTGTGACACCATATGTTAACATAATAGCAAGATGCTAAATGCCAAATTTTTAGTTAATAACTATGCTGCTGCAAGGGAACTACCAGGCTGACTGTTGATCGTTGGTACGATATAGCAACCAAGTTGTATGGAGAACAAATCAACTTCTAATACAGCAAGCCATTTTGGAAGGTTATCATTAACATGTGGTGGCTAACATTTTTTTTTTCCAATCAGAGCAATCCAAGATCAGATATTTCTGCCACAGTTGTTATGATTAAATTGGCAGTTTTAAGGATTTTAGAACCATCAGTATTCCAATCTTAGTATACCACAGGCTGCAAAATTACTATGGTAACATTTTTCCCTCATTGTAGTGTGAGCTATTTAAATAAAAGCAGTGGCACTGGTAAATGAAATAATACATGAAAGGTGCATTGTTCATCTTTTTGGACCATGGCATCTGCCTCAGTCCAGCACTTTTAAGCATCTTTCCTCTGAATGCAAGTAACTCAGAGTGACCCAGGGGCTTTTAGACTTTGCCCTTGCCTTCCTTTGCCCCTAAACACTCTCTGCCTCTGGGTATGCCACTAGAGCAGCAGCCTGGCCCTCCCGCTCTGTTACCAGGTCAGAGCATTGGGCAGCAATGAGCAGTATTCTCTGCCTTACACCCGTGTCTGTGTGGTGACACATTTTTCATGGATTATTCCTTGAATTCAGCCACTAACCAAGCCTCTTTATGCAGTCTGTTTTACTGTACAGTCAGCCCATTGGAGCTGTCAAAGCTAAAATTTGCTTCACCTGTGAGGAGAGTCTCCCAGGGACAATAGACGGGAGATCCCTCCTGAAGTTCTTTCCAGCCAACAGATGGGAAGGAGCTTAGAGTCTGGATGGCTTGTTGGAGTCTCTGGACCCTTACACACAAGCCAAGATTTTGCCTTCAAACCACATTCAAAAGAGGCCTCTCCACAGCCCTGGGACTGGGGAGAATTAATAAAAATTTAACACAGGCACAAGCTGAATTAGCTGCACATGGCTAGAAGAGGGATGTCTTCCCTAGTTGGCCCTTTGTAGGGCCTAGAGAGGAAGGAATAGGTTTGACTTAGGCATGTTTGTAGTTAATTGTATACGTATACATAATGGGTGAGATTTTTTTTCAGAAGTTCTTGGGATTAATTTTGAAGTCCATTAGGATTTGTACGACAAATTCAGGAGGTGGCTACTTTTGGCCAGTGGTGCAAAGACTTTTTATGTATGTAAAATTTTCACGATACTAAAAACCCCCAAGTTCTAGAGATGCTCACTTTTTATAGTGGTTGTGCAGTGCAGTTATTGGCTAACAGGCTGTTCTTTTATGCCCTTTTTAGGCAAGTATTGGCATTCACTCCAGCGTTATGCCTCCACGGTAGGGTACTCCTTGATTGAGGCACAGAAGTGTGAGAATGAAGAAGCAGAAACTGTAACAGCCATGGCATCCTTGTCAGTAGGTGTGAAGCCAGCTGAAAAGAGGTGAGTTTCCTTTCCTCCCATCCTCTTAGTGCATCTGAAAGATAGCCAATTTGGAGAGTGAAGTATGTAACCCATCTGGGCTCCACTGCACTAGTTTTTTTTTCTTCATTTCCTTGTAACTATCATGAACTTCTTCCTTATCTTCAAAGTAAGTATTTCAGATGTATATGGTTCCTGCCCCTTGGGCTTATTTACACCCTCTTGGCTTTAGAGTGCATGAACAAAAAGGATAGTTTCAAAAAAATGTCTTTAAGTTCCACATGAGTTACATAGGGCGCAACTATATGTGCCCCCAACTGCACAGTTGTTACTGCGCAGTTGTTTAGTACTTGCTAAAGTACTGCACGGTAACCATTATTACCGCACGGTCCTAGTGGCTCACAGGTCATTTCTGACCCTACTACACAATAGCAAGGAGCTACTGTGCAGCAGCATGTTGTTACTGTGCAGTAGGGTCAGCATCCTGGTTCATGCCCACCAATGCTACATTGCTGTAGCAGCTCATGTAGACGCACCCATAGTGCATCTCCTCTGGTCTGAACCAAAACAGACATGTTTGAGCCTCAGTATCCTAAGCTACTTGCAGCAATTTTCAGCATTAGAGAATATGGCTGAATATCATTGTTTGCACCTGAGGCAAATTCACAGACATATTGGCAAGAGGATGTAATTCCTAAGAGGCTGAATGAGAAAAATTGCGTTGGGTTGGTAGAAAAGGTTAGCAGTTGAGGTGAAGGTGAGAGTTTGGCATCTTTGCCAAAGCGAAAATGCACATTTTTTGTACGCAGCACATGGCTAGTTACCCAACATTGTCACATCCCACCTTCTTTTCTCTTTCTTCCTCTGTACCCCATCCTGCCTCCTTTGGGTGAAAATGCTTACAGACCAGATGATGAACCCATGGAAGAGGAGCCTCCCCTGTAGCATTCATTCTGAGCTGGAGTTCTCCTGTTTGTTCGTCCTTGTCTTGAAGCTCTGCCAAGAAGTTTTCTCTTGTTACTCCTGCGTCCTGTCATGGTTTTCTTCCAGAATGCAAAAGGACAACCAGGTGTAAAACAAAGCAACAGAAGAGTCTCTCCATGTTATATATACACGTATGCAGTATATACTTGCAGAAAAGGAAAAACGCTGGTGAAGAGCAGCAATGTTATGGACAAACACACGTGCCAGGCACTCTCCTCTGTTCCTCAATGGAAGCTGAAAGGGGAATGAAGCCTGTGAAGTCTCTGGCAGAGTTGCCAATTTTTTTTCTAAAAACAAAAATCAAAGATTCAACAATACACGGACACACACACACACGGACACACACACACGGACACACACACAAATCTTCATTTTAAAACTGGTGCTTACAATTTGATTATCCACAACTCAGCAATCTCTGTTTGAACCACTCGACCCATCTTGTAGTTGTGTTTCTTGGATTTTTTTTAATGGCTCTTGCCTGACTGCGAATGAAAGACATTCTCATTAGAACCAGAACAGTGTGAGATGGTGTATTTTTAACAAGGACAGAGTGGGAACCAGAATTAGCCTTTATAGATATCTATATATGCACATATAGATATATATAAAGACAAAATTAGAAAGAAAAAAAGAAGGGGAAATGGTAGCCCAGAAGGAGTTCGGCTTTAGTATCTCCAAAGCCATCTGAAGATGAGTTTGTGCCTTTTTTTCAATTAATCTGATGGATTTGGGGCGGCTGGATTTTCTGAAGTTTGAGGAACAATGCCTTAAGAAAAAACAGCAACAGTTCACAAATAGATTTCCTCTGGCTGGGAAAGCTAAGAACTGCCATCAGGAAGGAAGACTTTTTCACTTGTGCTGGCATGATTATGGAATGCAGGCATTACCTGAATAGAGTGTCTCCAAAACTGTCTACAAGCTTGGATTTTTTTTTGTTTTTGCTTTATTGTTGTTAAAAAAAATAAATAAATAAATAAGGTAGTTGCCAGGAAAGTGGCAAATACTGTTGGGTCTTTGAAATTCAAACAATTTTAAAAACATTTTCAAATGTTTTTCTCTCTCATAAGTTACCTAATAATTGAACTTATCAATTTGGTTGTTGAAGCATGTAATAGACACAAATGCAGTTTTAAGATTGGAATGCTTTTTATTAAAAGCAACTAGCATGAGATATTGCTTAAATTGTTAGGTATAAA